CTCTAGTTTCTATCCATGCAACGACTTTTTGCCTATGATTTACTTTGTTAGTAACATATGATGGATTTTTTCCCTTTTTTATCCTGGTAAATAGGATGATTTTGATTGATTCATTTGTTATTATTCGCTGGTGGAACAAACTTGATCTGATATCAACATGTGGGATTGTCGGAAACGAGCCCACAAAGTGGTTTCTTATCATCTATTTACCTTTTTTTCACTTTATTAGAACATAACATGCACTAGAGAGAGTGTGATTAGAAGCTACTTTGAGGAAACTTAAGTTTTAGTGGATGGAAAAAAGAATCTTCGTAGAGTTTCATGGATTACTTACTATAGTTGTCAGTTAGATGTAGGAGTTACAACTTTCCACTCAGTTTTCTGACAGTACACGTGGCTGATCTTACTGCCACGAGAAAATCCATAGCCACGTGGTTACTTCTCTTTAATACGTAGCAACAAACAGGGACAAAGAGAAACGAGACAGACGGATAATTCCAATAGAGGACTTAAAAAAGGCCTTAGTTTTACATTGCATTGTTTCCGTCTTAAGGTCTTTTGTTGCTTTGTGCCATGAGTTGATGTAAAGACACTATGACAGCTTTTTAGTTTGTAACAACTCACGGCAAGAAAATGCGTGTATGTGTGTGTCTCTTTCAGAAAATTACGGAAGAGTTGACACGAGCGCTAGTGGAAGAGACAGATCAGGATGGTAATGGAAGAGGAAAGAAGGGCTCATTGGAGTCATTCGATGACCTTGTCAAGGAGATGACGTTAAAACGCCGTGATATAAGGGCGTTTGCTTCCGTGACTAAGAAGATGGTAAGTCTTTCTAGCTTCATTTTTCTGGCCATTAGTATAGTGCCAAGTTTGGTGCAGAGTAAATTTTATACTGGATCAATTATCCTAAAAATCTCATAGACTAGAAGATGGTTATTCTACCTTAAGATATGATCAATCGCTCGTGGATGATTAAGAGGATTTTTGTTGGGAGTTGCTGCTGAGGATGAACTTTCACAGGTTGTGATAAACTTAAGATACATTGTTGGAATTGAGATTATTGGTCTCTAGATTAGGCACAAAGAAATGTTCGTTAAAAGGTCTATTGATCATATCAGACGTTCAATAAGGAATTAAAGCATACATACTTAAATCTTCTTGTATTGGGAGACAAAAGCTTCTTCTCTTACATCCATTCATGTGACACTTGAGACTCTTTAATTTTCAGCTGTTGCAGATGGAACGTAAAGTCCAATCAGCGAAACATCATGAGTTAGTGTACTGGCATTTAGCATCTCACGGTATTCCCAAATGCCTCCATTGCCTTTCCCTCAGGTTAACAGAAGAGTACTCTGTAAACGCAATGGCTCGAACGCGGTTGCCTCCACCTGAATTCGTCTCTCGCCTGACCGACCCATCTTTTCACCATATCGTCATATTGACAGACAATGTTCTCGCTGCCTCTGTCGTCATATCTTCTACTGTACAAAACGCTTTGAATCCCGAGAAATTTGTCTTTCACATTGTTACCGATAAAAAAACCTATACCCCTATGCACGCTTGGTTTGCTATCAACTCTGCTTCATCATCAGTTGTTGAAGTAAAGGGACTTCATCAGTATGATTGGCCTCAAGAAGTGAATTTCAATGTTAAAGAGATGCTGGAAATTCACCGCCTGATTTGGAGACGGCATTATCAGAATTTGAGAGACTCTGATTACAGTTTCGTCGAGGGTACTCATGAGCAGTCCTTGCAAGCTCTAAATCCTAGTTGCCTCGCCCTTTTGAATCATCTTCGCATCTACATTCCCAAGGTAAAGTATTTTTCTCCACTCAACTCTTCTCTGAGCTTAAAAACCAATATCTATTAATTGTTTTGAATTCTCTTTTTGTTTCGGACCGTGCAGCTTTTTCCAGATCTCAACAAGATAGTTTTGTTGGATGATGATGTAGTAGTACAACGCGACCTTTCATCTTTATGGGAGACGGATCTCAACGGTAAAGTTGTTGGTGCAGTTGTCGATTCGTGGTGCGGAAACAACTGTTGCCCTGGAAGAAAATACAGAGACTATTTCAACTTCTCGCATCATCTAATCTCATCAAACTTGCTTGAAGATGATTGCGCTTGGCTTTCTGGTATGAATGTCTTTGATCTCAAAGCCTGGAGACAAACCAATATCACAGAAGCTTACTCTACATGGTTAAGACTCGTGAGTATAAATATCGATCTCATTTTCTTCATCATATTAGCTTCGCTGCAACTAAACACAAATCTTAATCTTAATGCAGAGCGTTAGCTCGGGGCTACAATTATGGCAACCAGGAGCTTTACCACCGACTCTACTTGCATTCAGAGGATTCACACAGTCTCTTGACCCATCATGGCACGTAGCTGGACTAGGATCTCGATCTGTAGAATCCCCTGAAGATATTCTGAAATCTGCTGCGGTTTTACATTTCAGCGGTCCAGCAAAACCGTGGCTAGAGATCAGTAACCCAGAGGTACGATCTCTATGGTATCAACATGTAAATTCCTCCAACATCTTCGTTAGAAAATGCAAAATCATAAACTGATATCAAGAAAAAGAGAGATCAAATCAAAAAGATTAGAAGGAACAAATAAAAGAAGCCAAATACTTGCGCGGCTGTATGAGAGAACAGAGGGAAGAAGGTTTTAGCCTTCAGCCTCTGGCTCATATTTTCTCTCATGTCCATATATATATACTAAAGAGTAATTTTAGAGAAAAAAGGGCAATATATTAGACTTTATATGCATATGTAGCTTCTTCTTTTTTTGTTATCTCAAATAGTATAGTTAAAAATATGTATTTTTGTTTAATTATAGCTACACATTGTATAATTCATCACATAACAGATGTTTGTAGTTTGTAACCCTTAATTTATTTATGGACATGTTATTTATAATTTTACAATGTTTATAGTTTTTGCTACCCTCTAATTGAGGATGTTTGTTGAACAGGCTATGTCTAATTTTCTTTCTATAATTAATCGCCTAAACTCCATTATTCGTAATCGATCATATGAAAAATAAGCAAAATAGGAACCAGAGTTTTCTTTATGATTATTGTTGGAACCTAAACTATGAATCAAGAAGTCGAGAATATAAATATAATGTACTCTCGAGTCTCTCTCTCTCTCTAAATCGTTTTGAGGGGAAGCATGTTTTGAGTTAAACAAGTTGAAGAGGAGGTTGGTCTTGGCTGGAGAATTGCTGATTCGGTTCAAGAAGATTCACCGGAATATAGTTCCGATTATAATGCTGCGACTGATCATGAGAACACACACCGGATTCGTAAACCACCGTTCCTTGTATCACACTCGATTCCTGCTGTTCTGGATTCAACCTTGCTCCTTCAGCTAACTGCGAAAACCCCGAAAATCAAAGCTTACTTGTGATAAAAAAATTTTATCTCGGTTACTCGATGAATAAAAATGTAGAGGTTGAGATTCGGAAACAGAACGTAGCTAACCTTAGCTCGCAGGTACATGTTATCGTGTTGCAACTCCATTTCCTACATGATTTACGGGAAAACTCAAAATTCGAAAAAAGGATGTGAAAGATATGAAAATAGTTGTTTGGGTAGGAAGAAACTTTGCTTACTCTCTTCTGCATATATTTTATCTCTGCAACTAACAAATCGTTCTGCAACATTTTCATAAAAGAGTGAGAAAAC